TGCCCTTGCTGCATGGCAGCTTCAGTCCTCAGTGTGGCCTGTGTGGAAATACTCTGTCATTGGGAGTTCACCAAACTTTGTTTTCTCTTCCTTTTTCCCCCTTCCCTTCACTCAGTCCCTCCCTTCTCTATGCCTCTGTTGCTTTGTATTCACTTTCCACATCAGCCCTCCAAACAGGAGCCTTTCTTCTGTGAGCAATGTTGGCATCATGAATCTAGAGATGATGCTCTTCACCCTGCTCATCCTGGGCAGAAGGACCTCCCTACAATCTTCTCCAACTGGTTACCCACAGCAGAACAGAACAGCACAATCAGCCTGGATCTGAGACAGCATTTTGACTTCCAATAAATGTTGCTCTTCTTACGTGATACTCAGTGTTCCCTAAGTAAATGTCACTAATAATAATGGCAATCCTTGGAGTGGAAAGACTTGGGGTTTCCACCGTGAAATGGTTCATTTAAAAATAAAAAATGAATCAGAAACTCACACTTCTCGAAGCCAAGAACATTATGTTGGCACTGACGCATCAGAAGGGAATTAGAAAAGTCTCTCCTGGGCTGCAGTGCTTCCTGGCTGATCTGCAGGATTCCTGTGTGTTCCCCACTGGGACCTGCCCCAGACACAGGCAGGGTAATTCGACAGTGGAGGATCAGATCACTTGGTCTGTGCCCTAGGAAAGAAAAGCTTGTGTCCTGACAACATATTTGAGCAGCACAGTCTGGGCAATACATTGAGGCATTAAGCTGTGCAAGAAATGGAATGTTATAATTACTCAGATTTGAGGGGAAAAAAAAAATAAGATTGGGAAGAGTTCCCCCCCCCCCCTTTCTTCTCCCCCCAAAGCATGTCATTTCTTAGCTGTGCCTCTGAAGTGTTAGTTTGCTTTTGGCATTTTTCCCCTTTATCTAAACCTCTCAAATAAGCCCTAATGACAGCATGAGTTGCATGTTACTTCATGTACTGCCTTGCAAAGCACTGGAATTCCTTAGGTGTCTTAAATTATGGGCTCTTTTATGACAAATGACTTATATTCTGCCTGATATTTACTAAAATACTGTGAACAACACATATATTGGATAGAGTTCATATCACAATTACATAGGCAGTCATTAGTCTAGTCACAGATAAAGCGTTGTGTTTTATTGAAAATGGACTTAACAGTCTAATAAACTCTCACATGGGACAAATACAATGAGAATGTTGGTAGATCTGTATGTCACAACCAGAAAAACTAACTACATAAACTCTTACCAAAGCTTTACTCGTAATATAAGCTCCTTCATTCACCTGAATGAAAGAATTTTTGATAATAAGTTATTAAAATTTCCTTTGATTTTTCTACTTGGATCTTTTTTCTTATTTCATGGAAAAGTCTGACAAACCTTTTTCCAGCATATTTTCATTGGGTTGGGATCAGGATTTATTAGAAATAATACAAAGAAAAAAAAAGCTAATCTCAGGGAATTTTTGTTCCTGGGAAAAAGCAAAAAGATCTGAGGAGTTTCAGTTAAACAACAGCTATTATGGGGCCATTTCTCCCCTGGCCTATAATAGGTTTTGTCATTTAAACTTTTGGAAACTGGGAAAGCAGGAATATTTCTCTACTGCAATAGAAATTTATATCTACTTTGCACATGTCTAAATGAGCACAGGAGGGATGCAGTGGTGGGAATCTGGACTGTGGATCTGCACAGTCTGGACCACTAAGCTTTTTCACTGATTCCCAGAGTGAGGAATGATTGCTCTGACATTTTTCCCTCCTTTCAGTACTGAAATTCTTATGAGAAATCCAAAGCTGCTGTTTTTGGCAGGTATGAACAGTATGGTTTTTGGTACCTTACTTAAAAATGTAATCTTTTTTTTTTTAAATTGCCACAACAGCTTTATAGTCCTCAACACTTCTAAAATGTTTCAAGCACTAAAAAATAACCCTGTAAACTAATGAAGAGTGCCCTTAGTACAACATCCTACTCTCCACAAAAGCAGAGTCACACAGAATATTAAGCCCTAAGAGATCATACACTTAACACTTTCACTGATACAAAGCCAAATTCTGCTCTCATTTGAACTACATAAAATTTAGGCCAGTGGACATGAAAAATATCCCAAACCTGTAGTGTTCATGCAAATGAAAATAAGTCATAATACACGAGAGATCTTTGCAAGTGTGGGCACTACTTCTTGACCTCTTCTTTTTGAGTTTGTTCCTAATTCAGTAACATTGAACATGACTTTAACTGTATGGAGCTGCCAGCCCTAAGAACTTAGGTCAGGAAAAGTGCTATGTTTTGGGGGTTTTTTTGGTTTTGGTTTGTGGTTGTTTTTTTTTATTCTGGATCTTTGTATTTATTCCAAATAAACCAATTGGACTTAAACACATCATTTGAATGGAAGCAATTTCTTGTGCACTGTGCTGCGCTGATTTGGGCTAAATGGGAATCTCAGAAGCTTGTCAGTTGTGGATATTGACATTTTCCGAGGTATTTGTAGGTGAGCTTTTATTAACAGCTCTGTCCTTCAGTAAAGGTTAATAAATCACCGTTGGATTTGCAGGCACTCTCAGAATAGATAGGAAGCCAATTGGGCTCTGAAAGATTACTCCTCTGTTTGTTTAGCCACTGGCTCTTTGCTTGTAACTGATAGGTTTAAGAGCTGGGAACGCTGCATTTCCCTCTATGCTTTAGTTGACTTGTTAGAGATAGTTGTTTGTGTTTGATAAACGAGAGGATGATGAGGCACTGGCTAAATGTGAGGGGTTTTTTTTTTTTTTTTTATCTCCAAAGGTTAGAGATGGGAATTCCTCAAGTAGGCAAAGCCACTGGCTTCTGGCAATGAGTAACTGTTTTGTCTTGGATGCAACCTGAGCTCATTAGTGCTCTCTCTCCCCTTCACACATGCACACACACCCTCTTGGGTCAGCTCCAGACCTGCTTGATGGCTCAGGGGGAGCCAAACTGCTGCTTCTCTTCACTTGGCTCAGAAGTCTCAAAGTGTGTAAAATGCACGTGTGTATCAGTGAAACCCCAGCTGCCTGAGAACACACTTGATTGCACTGGAAAATGTGCAAAATTGCAAATGGAAATGTGTTAAATGTGCAAAGAGTGGAAAATGTGGGGAAAGTGGGGGAGCCTCTCTGAGGGAGCCACTGCAGTTTAGAGAAGTGTCAAAATGGACCAGGCAAATTTAGGGGCCATATTTGTGTTCATGTGGGGGAAACACAGGACCAGTTACATGCAGTTTGCTGCAGCACTAAACAGAGAATAGGTATTGGACATAAATAGCTGTGTGCACTTGGCTCCAATGTCCTGACCACCTGTATGGAGGTTCATGTGTGGATACCCAACAAAATAAATTGTACAGACAAATCATTAGAAGAAGTAAATACCCCTGGTTTTTCTGAAAGTCTGTAGCTAAGTGCACCTGTCAGGAAACATCTCAGTTTTAAAATCCTATTGCAAATGCTGAGATTCTAAGCAAGATCTCTCTGCTCTCTTCTTGCAGATTTATATTCATGGTGTCCCTTAGCCAAGGTGACCACGGGCATTCACGATGGTCTGGATGGTTCTCAGGGGTGTCATCCAACCTTAGCTGTTCCCTTGATTCTACAATCCTGTCCTTGGACGTTGCTGTAGTGCAAGATGGTTTGAATTTGCAAGTTGTCTTCAGTTTGGCTTTTCTGCCTTACACAAAGGTTATTTTTGATAAGTGCATAATCTAAAAATAATTATTTGAATGTAGTGATTAAAAGTGGGTCAAAGAGGCCGGGATGTGAATTGTACCATGGGAGTGTTTGGAGCTTGCACATTAGCTGGTAGCTCCCAAAAGGCCCTTTGAATAAATAGACAGTAACTGCAAAAAGATCGATGGTTTGGCAATCAAAGTGGCCAGTGATCAAAAGTTGCCCCCTTACTGGAGGAAAGGAATGGGTTGAGTGATGCTGGGCTGCCTGAATTGTAAATTATCTTAATGAAGAGTAAACGTGTAGTGTGAAAAATGAAATAAAACAGCTTTTTTTCCCCTTAGGCTTTCAAAAAAAAAGATTATTTCCCTGGTGAAAGCAGATGTTTAATTGCCCAAGACCAGAAGCAGAATAACACATGGCTGGTCTACCTGTGTGTGTTACAGCTGCGTGTGCTGCATGCTAAACCTGCTCTGTTACAGCTGCAAACAGCGTCTGTTCTCACGGTAACTGTGAACGGTGTCATAGTGTCTAAAAATCAGACCCACCTGGTACAGTGGGGGAACAGGGAAGCAAATGTAATTCTTGCCATTATTATGAATACCTGCATAAAAAGAGTGGGAGCAAGCCCAGTACAATGCCAAAGGTTCCTTCTGTTCCTGAGTACAGCGCAATAGCCCCAGAGCAGTTTTTTGAAACCTCTTTCCAGTCCTGCCACTGCTCCATGAGCCTTTGGTTGGTCTGCCTGGAGGCTGAGGGTCCACACTCAGCCTGGGCTGCATTTCAGCTCCCTGGAGCTGTTGCACCACCAGGAACCTCCCACGGGATTGTAGGACTGTGGAGCAGCACTGACAAAGTCACAAGGTGTGTTGGAGCAGTGGAAGGAGAAGGCACTTCTTTAAGACTAGTAGCATGGTCAGAGCTCAGAAAATCATAAATTGGTTAAAATTTGTGTTAGCAGTTTGTTGTTGGGTTAATCTGACAGCTGAGCTGCAATCCCTCCTGTTGTGTTTGCAACGGGCAATGCGAGACAGAGCTGGCACAGCACTTCCCAAGGCAGGACTTCCATGACAAATATATTCCACCTTTATTTCTTCTGTGTCTCTCAGGGCAGGGAAGGGAGGAGAAATCACTTCACTCTTGGTGCAGCTGGCAATAATGTTACAAGAAGCAGAGGGACATGTTGGCACCCTGTGTGACTCTTGCAGGGACCAAGCCAGTAAAGATTAACACCTGTTTCCAACAACCACATTCTTGACTAGCAACTTCCTTCCACAAAGCTAACTTAATTTTTTCCTCTCTCTTTTTGTTTTGTTTCTAGCAGCACACAGTTTTGTTTACAGCAGAGGCTTGTGGTGTCCCATGTGCCCTGGTAAGTCTCTCAAGCAAGCAAGCAGTTATACTTACCCTTGGAAACTCTAGGACACTTGGAAGAGGTAGGACACTTGGGATGTCACCATGACACATGGTTTGTGAAATGGGAAATCTGAACTTCAGGTCCAACATACAGACAACTCCCCCAAGCCTCCAATTTAGGAAAAAAAAAAATACTTTTGAATGTGTTTGATAGATAAGCTGGCTATTTTTATTTGAAAATTGCGTCCAGCTTGCTGGGTCTGAACCCTAGGGAGAGCTCCAGGAGAAAGGCAGTAGGAAGAGGGGGGAAAAAAAAGCAACACAAGGGCTTGTGAAAGTCACAAATGAGGGAAAATATGTAACATTCACTTATTTCTGGTTGCAGAGCTTATTTCTGTTAATGCACAGTCCCCACAATAGCTGGTTGCCACGATACAGGGCAGTTACCAGAGAAGGTGCAGAGTAAGGAGGTGAATAGGTACTCCAGGGAAGTATAAGCTTTTTATGGTTTTTCAGCATCTCACCTCCTAAAGTCTTTCTCTTTGCACTGCCACTGATGGATGGAATTGAAACTCCCTGCAGAAGTGAGATGTCACTGGCATTGCTTTGGCACTCAGCTCGATAACTGCCCTCCCAACTCCCCTGGGATCAATAGTGATAATTAATATTGAGATGAATACAAGTAGCACCAGGCCTGCTGGAGAGATGTAGGTGTTATAAAGAGTGTCTGCTTCTGCAGGAACTTGGCAGGGTGGTGATGGAAAGGACATGGTGATGGGAAGGGAGAAATACCTTCAGGACCTAATGGAAGCATTGCCCTGCCATGCTTTATTGACAGGCACATTGTTTCTGGAACAATAGGATGCTTTGGCTGGCATCCTACTAGACTTATTCCTATGATCCCACCATGTATCAATCAAAATAGCTCTGCAGACTGATTTCTTTTCCTCTTCCTCTGTGATGATGATAGCTGGGCCCTGTCAAATAAGCATGGAGAAACCCCAAATGCTCCAGCCCTGTGTGTACAGAAAGAACAAATATTTCTCTTATCAGTGGAGCAGGGGAAGGGTAGTGCAAGGATATTTTGCTGACAAACTCAACTCATTGTGCAATTAACTGGCATAGCCTGACACCTTGTATTCATTTGCATACGTTTAAATGAATTAGGCAAGTCCTAATGCCAAAGTTGTCACCCAGACATTTGTATTTATACAAACACACCCACCTTGGCTAAAAAGGTCATAACTTTCAGCATGGACTTTGTCTCTCTTTCACTTGATTACACCTATCTCCTCACATAGAGAGTTTTAAATTATTTATAGAAGATGCTCGATCCTTATAATATTTCTAAGTGAAGCATAAAATCAAGTATTGTCTCACATATTTTGAAACACACAAGCTCCATTACTGTTTTATAATTGCTAATTAACAGATAAATGTTTCATACTCCCACATTTTTTATCCTCCAGATACAGCAAAGCAAACAGATTAAGAGAGGAAACCTGAGGACTGCAATATCTGTTTTATGATAAGAGCATTTAGTAACTTAATCCCTACTATGCTCAGCTCTCAAAAACAATGTACTGGTGGTTATGTGATACAGAATAATGAACCAACACAGAGCTACATTTGTGTTGTTCCCTGGTTAGAGTGGGAACTGAGACTTAGACTGTTAGTTTGTTGTTTTTGGTTTTGTTTTTTTTTTTTTTCCCCAGGCTTGCTGCTGGTTTAAATGACTTGTCTAAGGCTGTAGAATAATTTCAACCATTTTATAAGTGTTGTGCTATAAAATGGAGAAAATACATAAACCCCTCTCAGATGTGCACCCTTGTGTATCATTGCATGGGGGCGTCACCGTTATTAGACTAACAAAACAACCTAATGCAAATGTCTAGTATAAAAAGTAATGACAATTAGCAGTAACACAGGATGGCAAATAATCATCTTCAGGTGGCAAATGCAGGAAACCTGAGAAGTACCGAGAGGGGAGTGGGACTTCTTCAGTTGCTTCTTAGGACTAATTACCTAATAAACCCAGGATGTGATTGTGTGATACTGAGTCATAGATTCAACATGAGACGCTGTGCTACATTAGAAGATGAAGTAAAAAGGTATTTTGAGTTTCTCTGGCCAGGAGTAAATCTCTTATCTAAAAACCCCACATACATTATGGTTTCAGATATCTGCATTTTTCTGGCCTAATTCCTGATTATTGCAGAGGAGGTATTTGTTTAGCATGGGACTCTTCCCAAAGCACCACCATTTAAATTCTCCAGCTTGCAGCAACACACTTTCTATTTTGGCAAGATGAATCTTCTGGTATCTGCATACCTCTCCTGTTCCTTCCTTCCTGTAATTAAGGGTAAATCTGCTCCAGGATCTGTTCTTTTGTAAAGCACCATTTTTAGAGCAATACATCATTGGCAAGTCATGACACTAACAGATCCTTGGAGAAGGTTGCCTCTCTAAAGAGATATAATATCACCTTGATCACTGCTAGACACCACTCAGTAAAGAGCTCCGTCAGTTGGTGAAGAAGCAAGAATAAACTAATTTTGGCTATGAGGATGCAGGTGGAACCTGCTTATCAATGAAGTAGCCCCAACAATTTATGTCTATTTTACCTTTTCCTATTTCCCCTCAACATTCCCAGTAACCTTATTTTGATTTTAGGGATTCAAGTTGAGCTAGATGGATAAATAATGTTGAGGTTTTTTCCCCCAGAAATATTTATTTGCATCTGAAAATTAGTCACTTCTATTTTTGCACTTCCTGTGCCTTTGCTTTCCACGGACATTGGGCTGATATTTTTATATTGACATGAGTGTTTGCAGAACGCAAACATCAGAAGGAGCTGGGTCTATGCCTCCTTTCATGGGACTGAGGAATCACTGTGTTTATATGCCATGGCTCTTAGTCTAAGCACTTGCTCATAAAGAGGTTTGTGAATTGGTTACTGATCTCAGGCCTGTAAAGCTGCAGATGAAAAGCCAATGGTTTCAGAAACTGCTGTTCCACAGACCAGTCTGGTCTCCAGATCTTGGAGAGGTGAAGATCAGCTGATCAAGGTGCTGAAAACAAATCATATGACAAAACTGACCCGTTTATCAGCACAGTGTAAAATATTGCCCAACAGTCAGAAGGCATTAAAGATATTCAAAATAGAACTGAAGAAAGTAACATAAATAAATGTGAAAAGATCCGCAGGTATGTTCATCATGTAATAGCATTTTTGGGGTGCTTTTCTGTGTTGTTGTGGGGGCAATCCAGAATAGCTAAATGAACATCCTCAAAGGTGGTTGCTTAAGGAGCTCAACCCCAGTGACAAAATTAGATGTCCAAAACTGGAGACTCTGAATGCTGTCAATCTCTTGGCAAACTTGGCCTTATCTTTAGTTACCCAGTACCCTCTTGAGGATGTAGATGCTGGAAAGTGAAACCACTCTCCCTGTCACAATGATACTTCCCCTTCTTACTAATACCCGGAAGGAAACCTGATGGATTAACACACTGGTTGTACTGTCAGGATGATTCACAGGATGATGTCCCCCCTGGCCCTGCCCTGTGCCTTGCTGCTCCATCAGCTGCACTGCCTTGCTGCCTGTCCATCCATCCATCCATCCATCCATCCATCCATCCATCCATCCACCCAGCAGTGTGAGCTGAGCCAGCCCTGGTGTGTTGTATTGTTCTCAGATGAGCTCAGAGCACGTTCGGAAGCAACACCCAGAGCTGGGATTTCCTCCGTGTCAGCACACGGAGGGGCTCTCCTCTGACTCATGGACTGGTCCCAAAAATAGCAGGTTCAGAATAGAAACCTTTGTGCCCTCTCTGTCCTGGAGAACAATGCCTCACACTTTTTTTCTCCCTAAGTATGAAATAAATCCCCTTTTTGCTTCCAACTTGGCAGTGTTAAGCTGGACGGGCTTGGTCCAGTGCTCAGAGCACCTGACTGTGTGCTCTCGAGGAGAGGAGTCAATCACTGGGACTTGTATTCTCTCATTCTCAGCAGGGATGTTATTTAGTTCATTCTGATCAGGACTTTCTGGTTTTTTGTCTGGGGACATGGAAACTTAAAATGGAAAGAGATTCAAGCAAAGACTTCTCTTCACAGCCTGTTTTTTTTTATATTTTTGCAGGGCCGTTATAAGGACCCAGACAGAACCACCAACGAATACAACAAGAAGGAAAAAGAATATTCATGAAGTGTAAGATCCTTCACACAACTGAAGTGCCTGTGGGGTTTTGGAGTGTTTGCTTACTTTCTGTTGTTATTTATAAAATGTCTAAATATCTGTCAAGCCCACCTGAGAAAGAGTAAGACCCTTCTATATATAACTGTGTTGTCAGTGCTTTACAAATCCAGTAGCTAAATCTCTGTGGGTTGGCAGCTGCTGGTGTTCCCTGTACCAACCCTATTCCTGTTGGGCTGCAAGGGAGTCCTCAGGGAACAACATCAGCAGTGGGACCCCAACCTGTCAGCCCTTCTGTTGCTGGCACCCATCACTCGTGCAGCCTGGCTCCTCTACAAGCTGGCAGCATTCTGATTTTGGGAACTGATCTGCTGGATTTTAGCCACTTACTGTCTGAAGGGCCTTATCCAAACTGCATCTCTTCAGCTGGAGACAAGACTGGGTTGCTGGGCTAAGCTATACACTCTCTAAGGGTTGGGTAGACAGTCTAACAATATCAGAAATAATTTTCACAGCTTCAGATGATTTTCAGAGCTTCATTTCTTCAGTTACTCTGAAAATCCTGGTCTTGCAACCCCATGTGGGAACACTTTCAGGGAGCCAGGTTGTTTCCTCAATGGAGATGGTGACTGTCACACAGAGAACTGAGAAACAGAGTAAACCAATAACAAGTAGTCCCAAACACCAGAGAAAAGCATTTTAATATATCACTCCCTGAGAAGTAGGAGAGATGAGATTCAGCTGGTCTGCTTTTTAGAGAGAAAATCCCAAACCTTCTCTAAAGTATGCGTTGAACTTTTGAAAGTCTTCCACTTCCCCCTCCTCCTTGCCCATCTCTACAATAAGTACAATTTTTAGACAAGGCAGGTCTTTGTGCTCCAAATTTAATACGTAGTTTTTGACCCATAGAGTGATAAGCTGGAAAATAATTGGCTGGATTTTCCCCAGTGTTGAAGAACGCCTTTCAGATTGACTTGGGAACTTGCCTATTCTCGTCTGCCCACCTGGCTTTCACTTTGATATCCCTCACATTATCATAACTTTTATTGTGTTTTCATGTCAGTCAAACCTTCTTCACTAAATTACTTTCATTTGTACATCCTCTCCTGCTATTTGGTCTCATCATCATCTAAGATTTAAGGTGAAAAAGTTTCTTCTATTTGACAGGGTGGGAGGTAGAAATTACTATGTGAGCAGTAAACTACAGGTTACGTAAATAATATGTCATTGTATATCACCCAGTGGAGCCTTAAATCAATTAATTAGTTTGTATAAAGCTTTTGCCTGCTTTTTAACTGCACCATATCCAAGTTGATTGCACATTTGCTCCAAGTTCGTTGTTTTGTTTTCTTTCTTTGTGTCATCAACTTTCAGGATTCTTATATAGTTACTCTGTGTGTGTTTCTAAAGACTGTTTTTCTTTCTTTGGAGGCTTGGTTTATGTTTTTTTCCCTCCACTTCTCAACACATCCCTAGCCTGAGGCAGAAGTGTGCATTTTGTTCACGAAAGGTAGACACAGAGATATTCTTCCCTCTACATGGAATGAAAGGCAAGCTGAGATATGCTGGATTAATGAAAAAGGTACTGAAAAGCAGCTGGTTGATTCAGAGCGAGCCATTCACTTGCTTTCATGCTGGTTCATAGCAAGAAGAAAAAAAATCTATAGACTGAAGTGTACTGTACAGATAATTTATCCTAATGCCAAAGATCCTACCACCCTTTTTACAGCCTAAGTTTTCTTTTACAGGCATGCCAGGAAAGGTTGCCTTTTGGTTGAAATTGAGGAGATTATGGTAACTCAGGTGAACCTTGTTTTGGAAGAGGACAGAGTTGATGGAATAATATATTTTTTTACAGTCTTTAGTGAAAAACTTAAGAAGTTACTAGTGTGGGGAAACAAGGAAGAGAAAGACATTTTATTACATTGTCAGTAACTGTCCATGCTGAAATGCTGGTCTAGCCTGACTGCAAAGCCAAAACAGACATTGCTTTGATATGATGATTGATTTTATTATTCCAGCTGAGATTTTTTCTCTTTCATTTTTCTGCAGATCTCTGCTCAGTGAATCAGGAACTGTACAAAAGCCCTTTACAATGCAGACTTGATGTATAACAATATTAAGCAAGAAAATATTCAAACAGCCATGAAACAGCCATCAAAAGTGCTGTTCCTTGTTTCAATCCCTGCAAGAAATCAAAACCTTTCAAGCAGAGCCAGATTTTAACGAAGGGTGGCTGTTTAAAGCAGAGTTGCCAAAAGCCTTGGCTGTGCCTGGACTTTTATTTTAAGTATTTGTACCATTAAATATTAATATAGGTCAAATAACTGATCCCCCTGAGCAGATGAAATCTGCACAATGAAAACAAACACACTGTAAAACATGAGCCAACGTTACCCACAATGTTACTGCATAAATATGCAAATATAGACCCCGATTTCCCTGAACAAGTTTTCTTATTGATGTTATGGGAGAATGAGAAGGAAAATATAAAAATTAAATAATAGTCACAGCACTGAAACTTTTAAGAGCTGATTCAAGACTCATTGACTCAAGGGAGCTTTGCCTCTACTACCTTAAAGAGCTGCAGTGCTGCAGAACCTGAAACACACCCAGGGAAATCACAACGTGGTGCCACACAGTCAAGGCAATGTCACATTTGACAGCAGATGTGTCCTTAAGGACATATTGCTGTAGGAATTAAAAAGAAAAATGTGGAGTGGATCTGTTCATTTTTTACTGCAAAATTTTACAACTCCCAAATTTTACAGGCTCCCAATTTTTGCAGCAGTCCTGTCTGCAGCTGTGCCCAGCCAGGCAGGCTCTGCACGTCGCCGTTGGAGCAGGAATTGGGGTTTTGCACCTTGGACAGCTGGGGATGATGAGAAATATGGGAGATCCTACAAGAAAGCGTGAGCTGTCTTAGGTCAGGGACCTTGGTGAGGTCCAGGCAAGATGTACTCTTTGTCCAGCTCATAGTTAACATTTTGAGGAATATTGATGAAGAGCATGAAGTAAAATTGAAAAGGAGGAGAAGTACATAGCAAGGATGGAAACTGAAGAGTCCATTGAATTGATCAGTCTGTATACAGCCTCTAATTCTATTCTAGAGGGGCAGCCATGGGAAGCCTTTGCCCTTGATCCTTTGATCTCCATTTGTCCCAATCTTCACAGCTGGCAGAAGCTGCAGTTGGGTTTGTGCATTCAGCAGCAGCCTGTGTGCTTGAGGCCTGGTTGCTCTGGGATGTGTGAGCACTTGGAAGTGCTTTGAGTTTGAACTGGATACGGCAGAAACTTAAAGAAGCTGTAAAAATACCCTGGGCCAACTTCTGATCCCTGTTATTTCTCAGCAAATTAGAAATAACTATTAAAATTATGGCACTGGCATTGCAAAGTTATACGTTAAAAATAATGAGTGAAGTTACAAGAACACTTAAAATAATAGTTTAAATTATGCTTAGTAATAATTTTTTTGTTTAATTCGATGTTTTAAAGTTTTCTTTTAAAAATTAGAAAGTGTGAATCCTGTCTAATCCTGTGCTTCCAGCAGCTGAAGAGTTAAGGATAATCCCGATACTGCAAAATTTAGAAACCTTCACACAGGGAAATATGGATTCCTGTAGCCAGAGTACTCTGACAACCCACACTACAGTGAATATAAAATCCAATTCCAAATTTTAAAAATTAACAGATCCATGACCTAAGCTGCTTTCTGCCATTTTTTTGCTTCCACCATGTTTGGGAACAAATTATACAGGAGGACATATATTTACTTTAAAGAGGTAGAAACTAGATTTTCAGCTTCCTACAATGCAGTTTTGAATTGCTCCCAGCCAGTAAATAAAATCAAATCCACAGAAATATTTCCTTCAGAAAGAGAAGTTTAGGTTTCTCCAAATATTTAAAATATTAAGTAGACATATTTCAAATATTAGATAAAAAAACACTGACATTAAAAAGCAATTATTTTATTCTGAAAATAAGTTCTAAAAAAAAAAATCTAAATGTTCAAGAAAAGTCTGTATGATAGGAACTTTCCATTTAATTTAATTTAATTTCTCATATAGTCTTTCCACTCTATTGAAATCTGTATTTGAAGAAATTTTCTAATTTCTTGCATTTTGAGTAAAAAATTTATTCAGGTTTTCTAATGATGTGCATCATTCTGGAGGCTGCTTCTTAAAATCTAACCCAAACAGTCCAAAATATTCACATTAGTGTGCTGATGTGAATGAGACAAAGCAAGCCTGGCTTAAACCCAAGTGCTCAGCCCTTCCAAAGCACACTGATTGGAGTCATAACCATCCAGCTAAATGGAAGCTGGTAATTAAAAATATGCAAAATGGTTTGGAAATAATGTGGATCTCTCTGAATGTGGATTTTGAATATGGGTGTCTCTCACATGGGTAAAGTGGATAATTGCCTGCCTATCCTGCTTCTATTCATTGCAAATAATTGAGTTGTTGTCAAACACTTCTAACACTGCCTATCATAATAAATATGAGAAGACAGAGGGGCTTTTTGAATAATCTCATTTTTGTGGCTGAGGAAGCTGTTTCTTTTGTACTTGCCTGGGGAATGGCATAGCAACAGGAAATGAGAGCAGCAGAAAGAATGGAGAAAGCACTGCAGACTTTGCTTTATTTCTTTATTTCATATCTCTAAATTGCATCTAAGACTCCAGTCCCACACCTGTGTTTCTCCAGGGACTTCTTTCATGCAAAAGCCCATGGTTTATGCATATTATAGGAGAGGTAGGATGAGCCTGGTGCATGGGGACAGCAGGGTGGGGACCAGGGATGCCAGACATACAAGGGGAGCTTTGCAGAGGTCCCCAGCTGAGGTGCCTGTAAATCATGGGGTGCTTGCCAGAGAAGTGGGGCATCTTTGGGTAATGATTGAACAAACACCTACACAGCACGATCAGGCTGCAAATTGTCACCAGTGTGACTGAAAGCCCATCAGGGTGCACAGAAAACCTGCTTGTACGTGGCAAACCAGCCTGACTGCGTGGAGGGGGTGTTGTTATCTCCAAGCAAGCTCATGTGCTGCTCTGGGCTTTGCTCTGATCCTTGGGTGCTGCAGAAGGACTCAGGTGACACTTTTCATTGCCGTGGCTCCCTTCTCTTACAGACCAGCATGGCTTTGCTTCTCAACAGCCTGTCCCAAAACACCTCCCTCTGCACATCCTTCCACCACAGTGCTGCTTCAGCAGCATTTCCTAAGCCCCATTTCCCACACTGTCACAGCTCTCCATATGCTGCTGCAATTCCCTTTCCCCCATCTCTTAATCTTTTCCTTCCTACAACAGGAGTATTCCCTGCTGGTTTCAACAATCCCCTTGCACTTTCCATCACAGTGCTGCTTTGGGGGGTGGTTATTGTGTTTTGCACACTTGGATTTCTGCACAGAGGGTGTGGGTTGGGTGGCTGGAGCACTGAAAACATGACAGTGACACTCCCAGAGAGCTGAAGAAGGCAGGTGGATTTTTTCACCTCTGTTTGAATCTTGCTGGCACACAGTGTGGGTGCACAACCCCATGTCTGCTCCCCAGAGAAACACTGACCTTCCCCCAGCTCTTTCTTATTCACGTTTGAATTTCAGTTTTGCTCTGAGGTGTCTCCTCTCCAGCCTCTCTCAGTCTCTTTCATACAGTTTCTGAAATAATAGTGCAGGCTGAGCCAAAGGAACAACCACAGAATCACTCTCACATCTCCATCCTCAAGGTTTTGCTGAGGATCAGGATCCTGCCTGGAGTATTTCTGGACACACAGTGATGAGTTTCTCAAAAATTCCCTTTCACCTTTAGAGCCCTGACATTTCTGCTCCCACCTTTAATATAAAGCAGAGCTTAACCCAGAGATGCTGCAGTAGAAAACTGTTGCACGTTGCAGCAACCAGAGCAAACCTTTGATACCTGGAGGCTGATTCAGCTGTCCCCTTCAAAGGGCTCTCACCATCAGGCAAGCTTTTGCCACAGTAATAATGCAGCAGTCTGAGGGCCCAGAGGTGGTTTTGTCTGTGCAGCATCACTTTTGTAGAGAATAAGATGCACTTGGGACCTATTACGGTCCCTGGCAATTAGACAGAGTGCAGCATCTCCAAAATGCCATTGTCCATGCAAATTAATTAATGCTGTACTCCTGAGACAAGGATTGTCAGCAATGGCAGTGCTGGAGGCAGCTGACCTAGCTGAGTGTGTTGGCAGCCTGGGGCTGCTGGGGAGAGGAAGGGGGTGCTGAGGCCACCTTTCACCTGGGCAATTCCATTCCTGGAGGCCAAGTGACTTCCAGAGGCCACACATCAAGTGCCAGGCACTGTCATCCCTGGAGCTCAACCAATGCCTGGCTGAAGGCAACAGGTCACAATATCCCTTTCCATACTGTAATTGT